CGCATATATATTAGGTAACTAAATACATAAACATTAAGTGATGTGTGTGTAAATCTTCCTATATATTTTTTAGAAAATTGATATCAATAATATTTTAGAGTTTGTGACATAGTGTAAAAATGTAATATTCTACTGTAAATTTATTAATACAAAAATTAGAGTGGTTTGCACCTAAATCCCTGATTGATACCAATTTAAAATTTTTCATTTTCTTCCGCATTGAGTTTTTATAAAAAAATATATTATTATAAATATTAAAAAAATATTTAAAACATAAAAAAAGGGAATAATCTATTTAATCAATATCCAATTTAGTGAATATGACTTTCAAAATTATTTAATTTATTTTAAGATAACATTAAAAAATAATAATAATAATAAATAAATTAATTGTGTTTTTTTAATAAAATTTCATATTTTTAAAATACAGTTACAATTTTCCAAAAATATAAATTTGAAAATATAAAATTTGGTCATTTACATCTCAAACATCTAAAGCTTATTTTTAATATTTATACTGCCTAAATTTTTTATATCACATTATAAAAATCATTATTTTAACTTAAAAAAAGTATTTTTTTATGCATAAAATATAATAAAATTAAAGTTAAAATGCTCAATATGTAAATACAATAAAATTAAGGGGTATGCATGTAAAGTTCTTCCCCTCGTGTAAAATACAAAAAGTGATGAATTTTTTGTATTTAAATATTTGAAAAAAATTCACTGCTTGTCCCATGCGTTGACCATGCCCCAGAGGTCATGCTCCGGCCAAAAGACAGAAGATTTCTCGAAACCAAATCCCAGTTACCAATTCCCCCCTACACCTCTCGCTCTGCCTCGTGCATTCACAGTTCACAAGTAGGGAAGCGGCCACCCTACTTGTTTGGCTTCTTCACGGTATCCTATAACTCCAAAGAGGAAATCTTTACAATGAAAAACAGTGCTCAGGAGGTGGAATCATGGCGGAGTTCTTCTTCTTCACAACCCCCTGCTTTCCTCAAGCTAGGGTTTTTCCATCATAATGTGTAGTACTCTCCCCAGCTCTGCTGTTCTCTCTCTTCCCTACCTCTACCGGCTTGCTTATGACAGTTGACAAACGGGCTGCAAGGGATTTTCTTGTTCTTGCTTGCCCTTCTTTTGATCGGCGGCATTGTTGTTGCTTCGATAGGGTGGAGCGATGAGCCTGGCCATTACAGAGAAGCGGCCGCAGCGGCGACATGGAGGCTGCGCCGGTATCTTCTTCCAGCTCTTAGATTGGAACCGGAGGCTTGCGAAGAAGAAGCTCTTCTCTAAGAAGCTGCTTCCCCCTGGTATTTTGGCCTTCTTGTTCGTCAAAAAAGGGATCTTTGCTTCCTCTCATGCTTCTGGCTTATGTTGTTTTCTTTTGTTTCAGTTCGCACTGCCAAGAGGCCGACGAAAAATTTCGGCGGTGATGAGAAGATACCCTTGACGAAGCTGATGCTTGTAAGTGTTTTTTTCTTTAAATTTATGGTAGAAACTTGTGGGATGGCAATGTGGTTATTATACTCTGTTTTTCCTTCAACTTTTTTGAAGTTTCATTCTCGTTTAGATCGCTAATGAGAACCGCGGAGGCTTTCCCAGCGCGAAGAAGGTGGACGTCGATGAGATTTCAGGGAATGGCATGCGAGCACCAGGATTAGTGGCCCGGCTTATGGGGTTGGAGTCGATACCACTTACAGATCATGAAAAGCCTCGGAAAGCTTTAGATTCTGAGTGCTACTATGACAGGGATGAAAGTGGGGAGTACTCTCGGCTTGATCGAGACTTGTGTCATGATGTTGCAGGACAGGGGAAGCTTGATTCTTTCAGGCCACAGAAGTTGCAGAAGACTAGAGGGTTCTTGGAGCGGCACCCAGCCAATGCTGTGAAATTTAGTCCTGATTTGATCCACAGAGGTGTTGTTGCTCGTTCCAGAAAGCAGCAGCATAAAGTACCTTCCTCTGTGAAGAGTCCAAGGTTGCTTTCAAGGGGCAATCAAGCTCGGTTAATGCAAGCTGCAACTAAGATTTTGGAGCCTGGTCTGCAGTCTCGAAGTAGAAGTAGACGTGCCATTTCTTTTAATGGAATTTCAGAATCGGGAAGTTTAGGATCTGAATCTACTGTTGTGTTGAAGAGATCTAAAGAACCCCAACATGATTTTGTAATTGGGCCTTGTAGGAGCTGTGGTAAAGCAGTTGAATTCTCACAGTTGAGGTGCGGCGTGATGGAACCATTGGTGTCCCATAATGTTTCTGCTGCTTCTGATTTGGGTAGCGTTTTTTCTCGAGACTGCGGTGTTAAGGATCACAAGGTTCATAATGGAACCTCCTTGCTTGCTGTTCAAGAGAAATTTGATAGTCATGGAAAGGCCAGAGATTCAATGGAGAGGAAACAACCAATAGGAAGTGATCGGCTTAAATGCAAACTTCCACCAAAGGTTGCTTCTAAAAGTAAGACCTTGAGGAAGGCTGAGTTGCCGATGAGTAGGGAAAACATGGTTCACAGATCTAAATTGTGCAGTAGGAGACAGATTGATAGTGATGCCAACGAATTCATGCCATCCAAGCACTTTGTAGGTGCCAAAAAGAATTTAAATTCTTCTTCTTGCTTGAAATCTGCCTCCAAAACATCTGGTAGCAACGGAGTGAGCTCCGAGGGAAATGTTTGGGAAAGTAGTTTGGCACGTAAAAGAAGATCGAGCAGTAACTTGCAGACAGATAATGGAACCGCATCAAAACCTAGTTTCATGAAGCGAAGAAGTGATCAGAGAGACATAACTAATAGAAAAGAATCTGGATTGATTTATGGAAAAGCTATTAATAGGAACCGTGCAAAGTCTGAACCACAGAAGTGGTTTAATGTCGAAACTCTAAGCAGTGGAGATGAAGGTATTGTCCCTTTCACCTTTAGCTCATCAATGAAGCATAATTCCTTGTCTTTTGTAAAGGAAGCAGCTTCTGGAAAGAACCTAAAAATGTTACTTTTGAACCGAAAATGTTGGCATTCAATGCCAAAAAGGAAATCTTACCTTCTGTGAGAGGAAAGTTTAGTTTGAGAGGAGGTGAGCTTAGCAATCTGCTGGAAGAGAAGATCAGGGAGCTCGATTCACTAGATCAGTTTGAGACGGGAATTAGAGATGTTGCTAGAAGATCCACTGCTTCCATACTTGAAGAGTTAGTTTCAGCCCTGACTGCTGGAGAACCTGTAGTTCAAAGCATCCATCATACTGCGGAGTCAGAGGTATGTACACCAAAAGATAACTTTATTGATAGTTTCACCATACTTTCCGGTTAAACTGCTAATGGAGTTCAAAAAATTGATATTAACCAGAAGTTTCAGGTCAGAGCTGTCGTGTTGATTTGAGTTACCCTTTCAACTTTTCCATATGTCTCATTGATAATGGCTTGCACATTTCAGTGCTCTCCTATGCCATTAATTTCATTGATTTTGTTGCCTTTTAATTATCTCTTCCATGTTCTTACATACATCAATTTAATATAAATTATGATTTTGTGTTGCTCTATTTGTTAAATTATTATGTTCAATTGTCTATTAGAACATGAGAAGTCATACTCAATATGTTATATGACACATAATTATGTTTACTGTGGTTGCAATAGCTTTTGTTGATTGTGTTAGTTTTTAAGAACTAGAGCTTAATATTATAATAAATCAATTAAGATCTTCTATCTTCATTTCTTTTTCATCTATCTTGATCATCGTCTCTATCTCTTTTCTTTGACTTCAATTATTTTAGACATTTATCTCCTTTACTCGATTAATATTAAGCAAGTTATATTGATGAAAAATGTATAGTTTTTTTATTTAGTTACTATATTTTTGCTAGATTTTTACCTTTTTATATATATATTTTTTTATAATCCCTCAATTGTGTTTTTGCCACTTTTTTGAAACTCATTTGTCTTTCTTGATAGCCATTTGAACCTTCCCACTTCACTAAATATCCTTTTCAATACATAAATTGTTTTTAGGTTCTTCTAAAATTTTTACACAGGTATTTGTATTGGAATTGACCATCTAATCCCACATCAAGTCTGTGAACTAAAGTATTTTAATTTTCTACTCTTAACAACATAATATGAAAATTAATAGTTTTTCCCATCTCAGATATCATAGGACAATTATTGTTTTGAATTGGCCATATAATCCCACATCAATTCTAATTCCTTTTGTTTTAAAAGCAAAAAGTAGAACAAAATATAAAAAAAAAACAATACTGATCTCAAAGAAGTCCTTATAACTTTCCCCAACATTCTCAATTACTTTTATCTTATGCTTAAACTTAATTGAAGCCTTAATATTCATTTCTATCTCTACAGCGTCTAATTTAGCAACAGTTACCTTGGTGAAACATATCCTAGGTATATGTCTTTCTTTGCCATGAGTTTTGCATAAAAATAATTAAAAAAAAAATCATTTTGCATACTTGTATCAATATGAAATATTTATGATGATAAAAGAATACAAAATGTGAATGTACTAATTGATAGTTTTGGAATTGTTTGGCGTCAAAAGTGCTTGTTTGGAACTTCCTGTGTTTTATTTTAGTTTACATAGAATTTTTGTGTGATGGAGAAAAGTGTGGAGATAACCTTATATTTCTTTGCAATATCATTGAGGGCTCTGCATTGATTTAAGCATAACCCAAGGGCATGTTGAATCCTTGCTGATTATTTACAGTTTTCTTTTTCTTCTAACATAGTTTTTTTTTTTAATTACCTCTTAAATGAAGGTCGAATTTTTCAATTATTTTCCCTCATCCTTGCTAGCTCAATCCATCAATCATAAGATATATGTGTTTTGAACTTATATTTTTTACTGCTTGTTGATAGTATTTTTGATGGAAAACTCTTTGTTTGCTTCTATTTTTATTATTTGGAAATCCAAGAGAACTTTTTAAATATAAAAGAAGGGACTTTAAGGAATGCTAAAAAACATTCTCCTATTTTTCAATACACTTTTGCTTGGATTTGCTAGACATTTTAGCCTACTCATTGATTAAGTGGAGAATTTGAAATTTATGAGAGTGGATACTTTGTTTAAGGGAATGTTTTGATTTAATGATTTTCCTCCATTTGTTTTTATTGTAATTAAAAGTTTGCCATTGTTTTGGATGTGAGCTTGATTTCCTTATATGTACTATGGATATTGGTGATGGGGATCACTAGTCAATTTGGGAGCTTTAATAATGAATGATTTTTAGTTTACATGATGTTCCAAATGGTTCTTTTTTTGTGAAGCTTAATTTTCTTTATATGTTTACTCTAGTTGAGATTATGCATCTAGCTTTGAGTCAACTTCCACACCTAAGAAATTCATGGTGTAACACACAATAGTTAAAGTGATGGAAATGAAACTAATGTTATTAAGAACTTAAAGAAAATGGCATCCGCATCACCACCCTTCATGGTAAAAGCACAAGATGTATCATCTTAGGTGTTGTTCTACATTGAAGTAAGGATATTGAACTACCCTAAATTGCTTAACAACCATTGGTCATACGGAGGAAGAAAAGAATATCGTATCCATGGGACCGGAGAAGAGGATCTATCATGTGTGGGAGAAAATAACTGTAAATGGAGAATGATGATCCTTAAGGCTCTAAGAAATTTTCTTGAGAATTAGCCTTGGAAGGATAAATTTGCAAGTGTGTTTTTAAGAGGGACTAAATTGTAGAATTGCAATGTACAATAAAAAGAAGGGTGTGCGGCCAAACAAGGATAATTGGAGAGATTTGTGTGGGGGAAGTTAAGGAAACTATCCTAAAATTATTCCATGATTCTTCTTTTTTTATATTATTAGTCACCTTATGGGAGCAAAGTAATGAGTTTTTTATTTTTTCTATTTTCAGGTTATTGTATCTTCTTTTTTGGTTTCTAGTGTTCTGATAAGAAATTGTCTAATACATTAGCTTAATTTGTTTTCAATGTTATAAATGACTTAAATGTATGTAGGATGTTTAGGATAAGATGCCCTAAATTGGTGCATTCAGTTGAATTTAGATAGACACAAATTTGTTGTTCGCTGCTCGCTGCTCGCGGTTGTGTTGGGAGTCCCTGAATTCTCCTTCATTTGTGTTTCTAAAAGTGGAAAATGGTGCTCCCCTTCTCTCATAACTGCTCATCGTCTACTACATACAAAGTATTTATTCGATTCAAAATTATTCACTGTACTTGATATAAAATTCACTAACGGTATTAAGTAATTTGGAGGCTTAGAGAAATGAAATAAAGTTGTGCCCACAAGCAATTATCTTCATGTAGCTTTACATTTAATATTCTATTGTTTTCAAGGGTTTTGCTTTATTAGTTATGCTAGTCAGTATTCAACAGATGGAAAATACCATTTTTTTATCTTTACATGAAGGAAACTGTTTGTATTTGCAAACAATTGAAAAAAATTTGTCATGTACTATTTTTCAGATTTTGATTATTGAACTTTGTGATACGTCTCGGCACCAAAATCAGTGAATAAATCACGACGAAATCACAATAGATAGATAGAAAAAACACAAATAAGGGCTGCTCATACAACAATCAAAGGAAAACAAACACGATACAGGGCTGGTCTATTATTCGAGAGGTAGATCGTCTCTTCCACAACCCAAAATTTGCTAAGAACACAAGCAGAAAGAAAATAGTAGCCACAAAAAATATGCTTGAAAATAAAACAAACCATAGGTTCCCCCTTAGTAGAATCCTCCTACAACATGTAAAAACTTTCCTTCTAAACTTCCCTCCAAACTCCCCTCAATTACTCCTCCTTGATTATGTGATTATGACCCTAGTAGACCCCTTCTTTTCCTTTCTCCGCGCCACGTCTCTCCCCTTTTTCCCACGACAAAGGCCGACCCTTCTGTGGGTCAACGAGATTGCAATCGGCCAATCCCTCTTAGACCGGCTGCGTGCTGGGCGTAACATTACTCCTCTCCAAAAAGAAAGATGAAAACTACTTATGGATCTCCTCTTAAGGTTCCCATGTTGTTTTATAGTTCGACAGTTCTTTCTTCTTAACCAATACCTCATTCGCTCCCCTTTGTCATCGCACTCCTTTGATCTCTAATGGCTTCATAATCACCTTAACGTACTCCATCAGCATCAACGGTAGTGTAGATGTGAGTATGTGATCTCCAATTGCTTAGTCTCAGTTGGAAAACATTGAAGACCTGGTGTAGTGCGGATGATGATGGTAACCTCAAACGGTAGGCCACTGCTCCGATGCATGCAATCACCTCATAAGAAGCAAATTATCTAGGTGAAAGTTTTTCGCTCCTCTTGGTTGATGGGTAGGGCCCTAACTTCAAGTAAATCATGTCCCTGGTTCAAATTACACCTCTCTTCTGTGTTCATCTGCTTTTCCTAATCATGATTTGTTAAGCCCTTAGAAGATACCCTTTAAGCTATGCTAATATCCTGTTTCTCTCCTCCAAGTACCGATCAACGCTAAATATCAGTCGTCCCCATAATGTGTCAAGTGAGGTGGATCTTGCCCATACAATATTTTGAAAGAGGTTGTCTACGTTGCAGTGTGGTACGAACCAATATTCGGCCCATACAATCCACTTAGCCCATAACTTTGGTATATCAGATACAAAACAACATAAGTATGTCTCCACGCACCTGTTGACCACCTCCTTCTGCCCATCGGTTTGGGGATGACATGCAGTGCTTCTTTTAAGGCCCGTCCCTTACAACTTAAATAGCTCTTTCAGAAGTGGTTGAGGAACACCTCGTCCCTATTCTATACAATTGATTTCGGTACCCCGTCCAAACTGGCTACTTACCGGATAAACACTGCTGCAACTGAGATTGCAGTGTAGGGATGTTGTAATAGAATGAAATGTGCATACTTAAGCGATTCATAATCACCGCGAACTCTTCTGACCGTGGTAACCCCTCGATAAACTTCATCGTCACTTCCTCCCAAGCTTTCTCCAATAATGCTAATGGTTGTAGTAACCCCTCTGATGCTGCGATCAAGTACTTGTGCCACTGGTACACATCACATTTTACCACAATGTGCTCCACATCTTGGGTAGCATGAATCGCATCCCTACTCAATAAAGCTTTGTTTCCATACGATTGTAGGTCTTCTGCATCCCTGAATGTCCCCTGATCACACTGCCATGAAACCCTTTTAATAATCTGAAAATATACTTCGACGACTTGGGCAACATGAATTGCCCCTGATGGAGCCGCTGCTGTCTCCTCAATGCATAT